AAATTTCTTTATTTATTTCCACGTTTCGTTCATACCAATATACAGAATCACCGAAAACAGATTAAACTCGTACAAAAATATATCTTGTTTACTTCATAAATATTTCGTATTACCTTATCAATGTTTTTTCAGCATATCACTATCTACATGGATATTATTAACCACATACAATTTCTTCTGTTGCGATATCATTGAACATGTAATAATTATGTTCTATAATATATTCTCATTTTGAACAGGAAAATAACTAATTTTTACATGAGTAAATGTATTTAAAAACAATATATTTGAGGGTGGTTCTCACCCCCTGGACATATTTGGATCCATAAACTATTTCTGAACAATTACTATTTTATAAGAAATAAACAGGCGTTGATTTCATCAACAAATATCGATCCAATCTCGAAATATTAAAAAAATCTGTTTTACGAGTCAAATTCGAGCCATCTACCGGTAAAAGAGAATTTCCACAGTTTTAAAACTACCAAGAATATCGGCATACAAAAAACTGTTGTTAGAAAAGTGCTTTGGTCGTGAAATATACAGAACAACACCAAACTAAAGAATGTCCAATTAATCAAAAAATAAAAGATGTAACATGTGCAAATTGCAAAGGAAATCATACCATAAACTATAAAGGATACTCAGTTCGTAAGCAATGATTGTAAAAACTATTTCCTAGACTACGATAAAAAACATTGAATCAAAACATTATTCAAGTTCATGAAAATCTAAATTCAAATTTAAATGCCAACGTCAATAGACTTACAATTAGATATAACATAACATATGCACAAGTGATATTAAAATAAACCAATCAGAGTGAGACAGAAATATCAAAACAAACAGTTGTTCAAGCAGAACTAAGTAGACTTATCAACGAAGTAAACGCAAATAATAAACTAAAAAATATGATGCAACAGTTGATGCAAAAAATGGATACTATGTTAATTTTTTTAACTGTGTTAATAAACAAAATGGTATAATGAGTAGTATAAAACTCGCAATCTGAAACGAAAACGATTTTATGCAGAGGCACATTGAATCAAAAGTATTTTTAATTTATGAAAATATAAATATCATGTTGATATGAAAAACACACTTTATAAGTAAAAACTATCTTAATATATCAAACTACACTGTACGTAAAACAAATCACCCGCTTAATAAAGCACAAAGAGGTACTGCGATTATAATCGAAACAAAAATAAACCACTAAATCCACACTTATACTAATGAAATTTACTTACGAGCAACCAGTGTAATCATCAAGGACAGAGAACAACCGATAACAGTATCAGCTGTAATACTGGCCATACCCTTCCATTTTCTCACTGGCTAGAAAACGCTTGGCCTCACCTTCGCGGTAATCAACTTGACAGGTCGCCAAGCAACTTTGCACGCTACCCCCCATTTGTCGCCGGATTTTTTGAGTGCTGCTGTGGCCTTTTTGCCCGTAGACAGGACTCGGTCTTTGTACCCAGCGTACTCTCCTCTTACCAACGCTAGCGACCAACTGGGCGGTGAAATGGACGCACCGGAGTGGTTCGAAAGATAGGCCCAACTGAATGCTAAACGTCATGAAGAGGTTCGCCAAATCTGGACACAGCTATGCACTAAACGTCATGCCAGGAATGCTCTTTTTGCTGTTGTTGATGAGCCTGAACCTCTTGTGCATGGTCTCCCCCTCGAATTCAAGGGCACGTTGTTCCAGATAGCCACTACCATCCTTCAAGCCCTCGGCTTCGATGGAGCTCATAGCTTCCCGTCAGTAGTTATTACCGGAGACAAACTGGTTTCCACCGGGGTCACTCAACTGAGACAGCCTTGGTTGGTCTCCTGTACGACATCAAACATGCTGTCGAATTGCGTCAGGTATCCATCCTTGTTCTTTTCGATTTCTTAAAGGCTTTCGACGGCATCCCTCACGACTTGCTCATTTTCAGGATTAAAGCCTGTAATATGGCTGAATCTTCCTTACGATGGTTCTTTAGTTATTTAACTAAGGGAGCACAGGCTGTGGTCGACCGGGATGGTTCGGTGTCACGTAGGTTGCTAGCCTGTGAGGGTGTTCCCCAGGAAAGTGTTCTTGGTCCCCTTTTGTTTGCGATTTTCATGAATGATCTTTCTAAAGTATTGCATTTCTTTCGACAAATGATTTATGCTGATGATGCGCAAATCTATCATCATTGTTTTCCCTCGGAAATACTTGAAGGTCTCTCCAAGATTTAGCTTGATGATCAGGCGGTTGCACACTACCAGAGACACATCACACTTATTCGTTGCATATATAAAACAGTCTGTACATCGTATTCAGCATATTTCACAACGTATCTTTGGCCCCCAAACCAGCTCCACTTAAAGCGATCGACCCGCAATCCACTTACTTCTCCTACTCAGTACCACGAACGAAGGCTTAGCTTTACTCTTTGTCAAAATATGGCATGTTCCTTCTTAACCAGCTCTCTATCATTGATTTTTACATCCTCAGATACAGTGAACTTAAGACATGGTTGTTTTCGTTATTCATGATCGTGGATCAATAACTTTTTTGACGTAGAATTAAATCCGAGTCCCTAACAAATACCCCTGCACTACTGAAGCTACCAACAGTCTCGCTTCCATTTAATGTGTCAGCCTTCACTTCCGCCTCTAATTACCTCCAAACCCCCGGAAACTACCTTTCCTTTAATTTCCCGCCATTGAACAAATCCTCCTAAACCTTATCTCTCATCTTTTTAAATGATTCCACATTACACCTGATCCTTCTCTCCTTCTTTCTAGATTAATTTCTCTTTACCTATCCTTTGTATTCTATTATTTGCTTTATGGTCTCCCATGGTACACTTTCTGTGATTTTCAATTATGTCTTATTTATTACTCATCCTCCCTTATAGGGCGATAATTATGATACTTATGATTCCAATGTAGCTTTCAACCGTTTCTGTCTCTAAAATTTTATGTATTGTTACTATTATTATTATTACTACTATATTATTACGGTAAACGTCCGGTTTGCGCTACCGTCTCGATTGCATGGCTGCCTGCGAGGGCAGCACCTACCGACCCGGGGAAGTCGAAAACGGGAACTCGGTCCGAAATGGGAAGGAACGCGCGCGCAAAGAAAAGGATCTGTGGGAGAGCGCCTTTGACACCGGTAATAACGTGCAGAAGTCCAGAAACACTAACGCTAGAGTTGAGCAGTTACCCGAAAATTGCGAATAGCGTGTCCGAACCCAGGAGTGCCTCTAACATCGGCAATGGCGTGCGTACGTGTGAACGCCACAAGGAACGTGAACGTCAGACGGCCAATAGTTTTTGTTGTTGCTGCGACTTCGAATGGTTAGCCGAGACGCCATGGGAGGCCAGCCACGAGGCCGCTGAATCTATCTGACGGAAGCCGCTGGACGATACAGAGTGCCTCGTTTATAATTTGGAAAAGTGGTAACCTGAGCTACGCGCTAAGAGACGACGTTGAACTGCTCCCTTTGACAGCGCGACTAATCGTATAGGGTAAGCTGGCCAGCTTCGCGTTATTGTTTTCGATAAGCGACCGCGCATAACATCTTAGCTCTCCCCTCACATCTGCGAATACAAGAAAATCGGTAGCGAGCGAGCATGCGAACGAATAAACGAACGACTGTAAACGAAATGACGGTACGAAAGATTGTCGCGCACCTCGTATAAGCTTAAGTGCGCGAGCCAAATGCGTTGTAAATTACATAATAAATAAACTAGTCTCTGCATGATTGAAACATTAATTTACTGATGTCTTTTGCTATTAGTAAGTTGGTTGACTGATACCTCTCCTTCCCCACTCCACGGTTAGTTAACAAAAATTGATTATTTCGATTTCGTCGCGTGCATTCCGGTGCGACTGCTCATTGGGCGGGACAAAGAAATTAAAACGAAATTCACACCCCGGTACAGTATACGAGTATAATATATATACGTATATATTAGGCTACTTATTATTGTTACATAAACTTGTATCTTAATGTTAATTCTAATATTTTTTGTGAATTTTTATCTCTTCTGAATTGCGTATCTTATTGCGAAACGTTAGTTTATTTTATTATTGTTGACTTTGTTTATTTCGGTAATTTCATTTATTTTGTTTTGTTTGCATCCCTTTTGTATTTGCTTCAAACCTACGGGGTTCTATTCCAAGGTTAATAAAGTAAAATCAATCAATCAATCAATTTCTCTCTTGCATGTTCGGACGTCATTCGGCGAAGCATACGGGCAAACAGTATTGCCGAGCCCACGAAGTTTACGAAATAATCGACAGTCCAAAGTGTTGAGAGTTTAGTGAAGGATTACCTTTAATCTTTCCAGAGTACCGCTAATCTTTCCACGCACACGTGAACGTGGGAATAAAACTTGCAAGTTTCTTTTATTTTAGTAGCGTGAGGCTAGTTAAATCTTGTATAACTAAGAAAACTTGCAGTTTGATAATTTTTCATATATATGTATCATAGTCATAGTTTGACGAGTAAACAACCCAACCCAACCTGTTCTGTATCCAAAATATTATTTCGTGCGTGATTATTGCATACACCCAGCGCATTATTAAGTTGTAAGCGCGTTTGTGCCTTCCAAATTCTTCCTTTAAATAACTTTTAAGGATGGTTACGTGCAGCCTCATTGGTGTCGGCCGTAGACTTCGTTACAATGACGAACCCAAATTGAACTATTCATAAAGAAAAAACCTAAAATTTATGTTCTTTTCTTTGTACTATATGATATATATGAAATATTTTACTTACACTTCATACTTTGTTATAAGTAAGTTAAAATGCATAAAAATATAAATATATAAGTAGGTAAAAATCTCATAATTTAGAATTCAATACATGCAATACAGATTTTTTCAATATTATTTATACTTTGTAATATTGTGAATTCTCTTGCAATATTTATTTAAAATAAAAAAGGACATTATACTAATTGTTTTTTATTAATTGGACGGGGACACAAAAATAAAATTTTCTACTTGCCTGAGCAATTTTAAGATATTCCATCATTGCGTCCTCTCGAGGCATTCCTCGGTGCTCTTGCCACCAGTTAGTAATAGAAGTTTCCCATTCATCCTTACTCATTTTGTGCTGATCCATGACACGTTGAGGTAAAAGTCGATCATTAGCTAAAAACCCAGGGTTATGAGTAGATTTTTGATAGTCACCATGGCGTGCTTGTACAGCATATGATGCTAATAAAACTGATGTTTCGGGCGGGCAATAAATATCATCCGTTAAGATGGCACTTTTTACCTAGGAAAGAGTAACGCACTTGATTGAATTGAAGATGAGAAACATGAGTCAATCTACATAAAAATGTTAATTTTATGTTGAGTCAATTATCCGCAGATGCTTATTACTAGTACATTCCATGAAATAATAAAATAACAATGTTGTTTCATATAATTTCACTAATATAAGTTAAAAATAATAACACTCATCCCAAATATGTGCAACAAAACGAAAGGTGCTCTAAGATATCATAATTCTTATAAGTTATATTGTTATCAGTTTGATCAAATCCACTATACTAATCCCGATGTACTAGTTTTTTCATATCGTATTCTTATATATAAATTGTAACATTTCAACTTACTACGTTATAATAAATTAAGTTCGAACTCTAAAATATATTTACTAATTATATTTTCCAGAGCAAGCAAGAAGTTAACATATAATAATGTATACTCGAAATCACCAAAATAATACTTGTCAATGGCTTACTTGTATTGATTGAGGTGTGAGGATTGATTTTACTCGAACATCAACAATCACTACTGAAGCCTTTAGAAATTCAACACTCAAAGTACAAACTGCAAAGATAACAATCTTCAGTGGCTTTGAACGAAGAGTACGTATATCTTGAAGATAGTAAGTAAATTCAATCATCGAGCAATGACCACAGTCTGATTCAACACAGTTTACTACTTCGAGGTAGGAAATTCTGCTAAGTATTGTCGCATCTATCTTGGAAAGACCAGACAACGCCGCGACAAATATTCGAATTTCTACGCTGTAATAATATAATTAGGAAAGGAGATAGTCTAAGGCTGTTTTTTTCTCACAAGAGAAAGGGTCTTAATAGTTGATCTTTTAAACTATCACGTAGGAGAAGATAGTAGCAAAGCTAACCACTGAATTATGAAAACCGATCCCAGAAAATGCCTTAGGCTTTATTTTCATGTGAACAGTGCTCGCGCTGCTAGACAAGGTTGAATTTGAATTTACTTGCCGTAGCGACGAGAGAATTTACACAAAAAGCCCTTTTTCAGGTTGGGTTGCCCTACAACGCTGTTTTCAGAAATACGAGGTGTTCAAAAAGTAAGGTGACTTCAAATTTCACGGGCAACGTACTTTCGATTATCGATTTGTTTGTTTTGTTATGTTGGTACACTCTTCCCGAACATCTGTACCAAGTTTCAAGTGTATAGCATTTTTTGTTTGGTTGTGACAGGCGTAAACGTTATAAGTGTTTTGCGTGCTCGGCGATTTCTTGCTATCGAAAAATATGGATCAAAGGATTTGCATCAAATTTTGTGTAAAAAATAAAATAAAGTGCTCCGAAACACTTGAAATGTTGACGGTGGCATACGGTGAAACTGTTCTGAGTAAAAACAATGTTTACAAGTGGTACAAACTCTTCCAAGATGGCCGGGAAGATGCCAATGACGAGCCTCGCTCTGGACGCCCAAGCACGTCAACAACTGATGAAAACGTTCAAGCAGTGAAGAAAATTGTTCTGGAAAATCGTCGAATCACTATCAGAGAAGTTGCTGAGGATGTTGGTATATCGCTTGGCTCGTGCCATGAAATTTTTTCTAACGTTTTAGGCATGAGACGTGTGTGTCAGCGAAGTTTGTTCCGAAATTGCTAAATTTTGACCATAAGAACCGTCGCATGAGCATCGCTAAAGAACTGTTGAATGACATCAACGACGATCCAGATTTACTCAAAAGGGTCATAACTGGTGACGAATCATGGGTATATGGTTATGATATCGAAACCAAAGTCCAATCGTCCCAATGGAAAAGCCCAGATGAGCCAAGACCGAAAAAAGCACGCCAAGTTCGATCAAATGTCAAAGTTTTGCTCACTGTTTTCTTCGATTACCATGGCGTGGTGCATCAGGAGTTCTTACCATATGGACGTACGGTCAATAAACAGTATTATCTTGAAGTTATGCGCCGTTTGCGAGAAGCAATACGAAGAAAACGTCCAGAATTGTGGAAAAACAATTCATGGCTTTTGCATCGCGATAATGCCCCTGCTCACTCATCTTTGCTTGTGAGAGATTTTTTGGCCAAAAACAACACCACAATCATGCCTCAGCCACCATATTCATCGGATTTGGCCCCATGTGACTTTTTCTTGTTCCCAAAACTAAAGAGACCTATGAAAGGACGGAGATTTGCAACGATTGAAGAGATAAAGATTGTATCGCTGGAAGAGCTCAAGGCTATACCGAAAAGTGCTTGTGAGAAGTGCTTTGAGGATTGGAAAAACCGTTGGCATAAGTGTATTGTATCTGAGGGGGATTACTTTGAAGGGGACAACATAAATATTGATAAATAAATTTTTTTTCTTAAAAATACAAAGTCACCTTACTTTTTGAACACACCTCGTATACACATACTTTCAATAAGCTTTATTGCGCAATCACGCAAGTGAAGTAAAAAGTATGTGATTTGAAAAATTGAGTTGAAAACGCTGAATTTAATAATATAAGTCGCTTCTTATGGTCAAAACGCCTTACAAAGTTATAAACAACTTAATTTAATTAATTAAATAAATAGAATAAAATTTACAATAAAATTATAGGAATTTTTTACACCAAATAATTATTTATGATACACGGAACATTATCCAAAATTAAAATTACCAATTTAACTAATGAAATTTGAATAAGAATTAAATAGCGAAATCGCAAATTATTTCTTTTGCAATTATAAAATCGATGCGGATATTAATCTTTTTACTAATTTTATAAGTATGTATCGTTGGATCGCTATCTGGCAACATAATTTAAAATACATAAGTAAATAATTAATTTTTTATTTATTAGTAACTTTGTTAATAAATCAGTTATCAACCTGTCAAATTCTTGCTTTTCTTTCTTAAGATGTTAGTTTCACTGTGTTATATTCAAATTCGCATTGCATTTTTTATTGCAAAGTTGTTGGTCGTATATACTTATAAATTAAATTAAGTGAAGTTAAATTCGAGATCAATGCATTGAAGTTGACTGAAAAAAGTGCTTTTGTTCATCTAAAAAGCGTGCAATTATTGATTTTGCACAACAAAAATAAATTCCCCACGCCTGTGACGTCACGCTCATTATATAATCTTGATTAAGATCAAGTGTCCTAACATTCAAACGTGTATATGAGGTAGCGCCTTAATTTTGATTGCGCTTTTTCTCAATTTTTGGATATGTGACGGGTTGCTATTGCGCGGTTAAAAGCGAAAAAAAGAGACAGATCAGACTGAACCGTTACAAAATTAAATTGCGTTTTATTTGGCGAAGGAATTCACAATATACGAAATATGATATTGAGACTGTTATATTTACGCAATATTATAATTTGTTTGAGCGTCTCATTCAACCAACAAAAAATTCTTAGAATATTTTGGAATGATTTTATTCGAAACCTATTTTCTTCATTTTTTGACAGATAGTGCAACTTCACCGTTTCTAAATAATAACGTTGAAGATAAAAGAGTGAAAACGTCGAAAATAAGTCAGCAAATACTTTACGCAAAAGAGGGCGACAGAGCTTCTAACGTCTGAATCACTTCAGATATTAATTGTATATGTAAAATCTGAGCTGATGATGGATACAATGAACTAATAAATTAATAAACCTATTGTCGTCTAATTAATATATTTTGATTTGTCGCATTGCAACAATTACGGTCATTTGAAAAACATAGCTCCCCAGCCTCTTCAGATGAAAAGTTGGAAATGAACACAAGAGTTGAAAGTATACGTTGTGAAAACGGACGAAGGTGTTGTAATTATACAAATAAACACGAGTTGATGAAAGGTATGTAGATTCAATATTAATAATCGAATAATTTAATAATGAAGCACATATGTTTGGGATGGCTAAAGTCAGAATTGGAAAGTAAAATTATAGATAAAACATTTTTAATATACTATATTATATAGTGTAACGGGGTAACACCGTTTAATTATTTTTATTCGCGCAACTTTGTTAAAAGGGCGAATGTAATTATCTAGGCTCAAAACGCAATCCGGAGAGTATGGGAAGACAGGCGTCAGTCAACCAGTAAATCTATTAACCCATTAAAGCCCACGCTAAGACTGGTTGAGATAGCGACAAACAAACTGTGCTATCTTTTGCATAAGTGAAAAATAAAATATACGTATTTTTTTTTATGTTATTTTCAATTGTTTATAACAAATTATTTAAACAAATTACAAAAAAATTCATAATTATCAAAATCTAAATGCGGGAATCGATTCTGGAGGTGAAATCAAGACGAAAACCTATATAACACTTTTTTGTCAGAATTCAATTTGTTAGTGTAACGTAGGAATAAACAATTGCATGTTGGGGAGAAAAAGTGACCATATCAAGTCCCAAGCAAAATCTATCTGGAATAGCAAAAAATAAACTGTGCTATCCTTTGCATAAGTGAAAAATAAAATATATATATTTTTTCTTATGTCATTTGCAATTGTTTATAACAAACTATTTAAACAAATTATAAAAAAATTTATAATTTTCAAAATCTGAATGCGGAAATCGATTCTGGGGGTAAAGTTTAGACGAAAACCTATATAACACTTTTCTGTCAGAGGCCAATTAGTTATTGTAATGAAGGAAGAAACATTCGGCCTCCTGAGAGTGTTTCAAAAAATCGTATAAAATGAAGCTAATTATTGTATTTATCCATCAATATTGGCATGAATTATTGTAAATATAATCGGTGGGATTGAATTATTGTTCATTGCCATGTCCTTCTTTATGACTTTTGCAAACAGGCATAGAACATTTCTCACAATACCATTCCGTTCTTGTCCGACATGTTGAAATTCCACATTTCCTAAGACTCCCATGTTTCATCACGTGTTCTTGGGATGAAGTTTCACTCTGTTTCTGTCGTTTGGGGGGACGTTTGGAAGATAACTTGTCAATATAATATTCACAAACTTCTTGAACAATATCTTTGGAACCTTTTCTTTCGTCTGGATGTAACTTATTGTAAATCACTGTAGCGTTTGCTAA